GTCATGGAGTTATAAATATCACCAGCAACTCCAATATGAGGCTTCTTAGTTGGCATAGTCGATTACTCGATACCACAAGAACATACTGATTATGATACCAACTGATAGAGAGCGGAAGCTAAATAACGAGATCAATACAAGAACTCCAGGAGAACTTGAAACAAACTCGGATCTTGACTTATACGATTGAGATCGATAAGTCAAAAAGGTTTAAGAGTACTCCTCTTAATGCTCTAAAAGCTCTGTTTATAAATTTAATCAAATCAAGTCTGCTGTTACAAGGCCCTAGAATAGCTAAGTGAAAGATCGATCAGAATCTCTTAAATCTAATCATAAAAGATTATAATTATTCTAAAGAGTAAAACTAAAACAATAAAAGAAATAAAGAATACTTGACAAACAAGTAAAAACCCATATCGTGTTTGTTGTAAAGCCCGATAAATATAAAATGCGCTGCATCACATTTCATATTATTTTATCATTTTGGATTATTTTCGAGTATTTCCTTTAAATAAAATTATATATATGTTATTAGATAATTAACTTAACATAATTTGAAATTATATTGATAACCAGTAAAAGTCACTTCCGAGATTAACCAATCACTTACAAGAGACATTACTGCTAATTAATTTTTTGAGGCTGTTTGTGCTATAAATACTGAAAAGGTCTCTAATTAATCCGGATACACTAACTGCTCAATTCTATCAAAAATGTTGGAATATTATGGGTAATGATGTCTTTACAGAGGTCCTAGGTTTCTTCAACACTGCACATATGAAAAAGAACTACAATCACACAAACATCTGTATGATTCCAAAGATAAAATCTTCGACAACTCTCTCTAATTTTAAGTCTATCGCATTATGTAATATGTTCTACAAGATAATTTCTAAGATTCTAGTTACAAGACTTAAGTTTGTAAATAATATTGTTTTGGAATTCCAAGCTGCATTTGTCACCAGGTCGCATAATCTCTGACAACGTATTTGTTAGCCCATCAACTTATACACTTATTGAAAAGTCGCAAACATGTTTCTCAAACTTATATAGCAATTAAAACTGATATGATGATTACGGCATATGATTGTGTATAATGAGATTTTTTGAAAAGTATTATGTCCGCATTTAGCTTTTGTTCTAAGTGGATAAATGGATTATGGCGACCGTTAGAACTGTCCTCTACTCTGTTCTTATAAATGGAAACCCATGAGGAAATTTCCTGCATGAATGAGGCTTGAGACAGGAGAATCCTCTTTCTCCTTATCTCTTTATTTTCTTTGCTGACGTTATGAGTCATCTCTTGTAGATATATGTTAAACAAAATCAATGGCATAAAAGTTGCAAACGGTGTTCCAAGCATCGCACATCTTCTTTTTACCGATAGCTCTCTCTTTTTCTTCAAAGCAAATGTTAAAAAATTATTCTGCAATTCCGGATGTGTTCAAAATTTACGACCAATGTTAATGCCAAAAAATTAAATCAAGCTAAATCCATGATTACATTTGGTTCATATACCCATGGATCAACACAGGAACAATTGAAGTGTGAATTGCTGAAAATAACCTAAAAATTAGTTTTTTCAAGAAGTTTAGACCATTTATTGAATGTTTGAAAAAGTAACCTCAAGAGGTAGTAAAATTACAGCTCAATCATTTATGAGTAAACAAAAAACGTCCACCACAGTTACAATTTTATCTATGGACAGTCTTCGTAAGAAGTTAATTTGCCCACTAACCATATTGGTGTTGAAAATTAATGATATAGTTATAAGGAATTAAAAATAAAAAAACTAATCAAAAACTTTAAAACATATAATTTTGGAGGAAAAATATCCTTGTTGACTATATATTTGTTAGGAAAAGAGAGAGAGTGGGAAGAAAGATAATAAAAAAATTCATATTATTATTATACAGTAACATACTATCTGTTCTATACCATTTTTCTTGTAAAATAGTATAAATTTATGAAAAGAAAAAAATTGTGTAAAAAGAATGAGAGGAGAAAAGGAAGAAGAAAAAAAAATCATGTATTTAGGGATTTAGGGTTTAGAATTCTTATATGATGTTACCCAATCGTACGCCTTAATACGCAACAAATCTCTGATAATAAATATATATATTTTAAAATTAAACACAAAGCACTACTTACTATATCCAAACCTCTAAACATAAACCAACGTTAATACATATATAATAACCAAATCATTTAAAATTAAACCCGAGACGCTACAAACTATATCCAAACGCTGTTTAACTATACCCTAACTTCTTACATTCTATCCAAACCTCCAAACATACTATACTCATATTTTAAAACTAAACGCAAACCACTACTTACTATATTCAAACCTCCAATTATAAACCAAAGTTATTAAATATATAAAATAACCAAATCATTTTAAACTAAATCCAAGCCACTATAAATTATACCCAAACTTTACTTAACTATAGTCTAAATCCCTTATATTCAACACATCATAAGTTTTACTTCCTTATACAGCATACAAATGGAAATAGAAATAATTAAAAAGATATAAACATATTCTATACTACACGAATATTGTATGTAAAATAATATTTTTTGTGGTTAGTCTATAAACATTTAAAAGAAAACCAAATTATAAAGTCTTAAAATTATATATACCTTTCAAATTTTAAATTCCAAGTTTCAATAATAGGAACTTACATGTTTCACTCAAACAAATCTTATTTAATATAGTAAGGTCATGTGTCACTTTTTTTTTCTCTTATCTCTACTAAATTCTCGGTAATCGAACAAACACATAGCTTAATTTTTTTCTTTTCAATATGATTTTTTTTCATTATGTCTCTTACTTTACATTATTTAGAACTATTTTTTTTAACTTTTAAGAGCTGGCTGTGATATTGCTTTTGCACAAAAAATAGATTTATTTTGTTATATTTTTTATAGCTAATCGAATAGAAAATCATGCATTGTTTGCTTTCGTAAAATATTTTAGATTAATGGCTCACTCTTTTCTCTCATACTTCATTGAACCTTAAATCGCTTCCATTATCACAATCTGGATTCTGCTCTTTAGGATCTTCTTTCCGATCATTTTCGTGTACTTGCCCGGAATGGTGGTAGCTTGAATACCCTAATGAGATCAAAACTAATTCTCCCTTATATAATATGGTAAGTTTTTTTTTTAGAAACAGCTCTGATATGCTGACATCGTAAAAACTGACATGTATCACTTTTTACTTTCTTTATAATCTCTATAAAATTCTCTTTTATTAAACAAATATAAATAAAGACGGTTCAATGCTTTTTTCTCTTCTGCAAACAATTCCTTTTCATTCAGTAAACATAAACAAAATTTAAATCACTCAAGTAAATTTTATATAATATTATAAAATCATGTCACTTATTATTTTTTTACTTTTTTTCTTTAACATTAGATTTTGAAAAGAAGTTCATTCCATTTTTTTAAGGAAAATTACCTTTCTCCAAAAAGGGAGGAGAAGTTGGCTACACCGCCTCCTTGGAGTATAAAACAGGGTCTTTCCCTTAACGTTGAAGAGGATATGTATTTATTCACATCGAAATCTAGGGCAATGTGGGGCTTTCTGCTTTCTATCTTAAGATTTTAGATTCTCTATTTGACAGTTAGATTAGCATTTTCATTCCGACAACCTAATTAAACGTGTAACCTCTTGAGCTCCAATTAAAAATAAATAAGATTTACTCTTTTAAATTTCCAAAAATCCTTATTATTTTCTTATGTAATATTGAGTTCTTACAGCACCAACACATGCCAAGGCCTGCTCTCTTCTCAACTAATCTATTCATTGTTTAGAGAAAAACCAATTTTATATTTTGTACTGAAATAATAATATTATCGAGTTTAAGATTTTGAATAAAGTTGTACGAACAACAACTTAATTTAGATTTAGTTATCATCAATACATAATTATAATATTATGAAAACTTATATTTATTTGTTAATGAATATAATGTGATTTAATAACTAACAAAATATAATTATTGAAAATATCAAATGTATCCAAATTGGTCAAATCTTATGTTTGCGGTAACATAATAAAGAAGTCCTAATAAATTGTAATAGCCATCAAAAGTTCAAATTATAATGAAATAAAAACACATACAGTAAAACCTCTATAAATTATTAATGTTGGGACTTTCAAATTTTATTAATTTATAGAGTTATTAATTTATAGAGATATTTTTAGTTTGAATTTTTAATATTTATCAAAAAAACAAAATTAATATTTTCAACAATGTAAAATCCATTCAAAAAATGTCATAATAATGATTTTAGAAAATAAATCAAACAAAGTTTATAAACTTAAAGCAACAATATTATCATAGTTTACTATATTATATTATTAATATATATCTAAATGTATAATTATTAATCAATATTATTATTGGGACCATATTTTTACATAGACATTTCAAAAAAATTATTATCTTATTATCTTATCGAATTTTGTCAATTTTTACACTGGTCCAATTTGGGACTGGCAAAAATTATTAATTTATAGTGATTATTAATTTATCGAGTATTAATTTATAGAGGTTCTACTGTAAATCATATTCAAATTTTCTCAAAACTTTACAAATGATATTCTATTTATTTCGTAAATATAATAAATTTACTTAATTGTTAAAATATGTTTATTAGAAAGTTGATGATTTTGTTTGACCAAAATATTAAAGTTGAAACCTTATTTATTAATTTTATTGAAAAGAAATAGTTACTGATTGACTTCAGAGTTTGCTTCATAGTCAAGGAAAAAGAAAGTAGAAACCTAATATTTGACCCCCAACAAAAAAAAAAAACCAAATATAAATATAATTATAGACACACCCTTTTCGACAATTAACTCGTTCTCTTTCACTCTCTCTCAAGTTCTTAAACACCAAACTAAATTTTCATATCCATCAATCTTTTTTACAACAAATAATGGTTTTGGATTACGAACACTTCTCTATGTTCTCCTTCAACCCAGTCTACAGCGATGACCAACACAATAACATGAACATTGTGTTCGATTTCCATTCGGTTTACAGAGTCCTTAATCCAAATTTAGTTTTTCATGTAGACGACTACATGGATCTTGATTATATCAACAATTGGGTAACACGAATCGAAGATATAAGTCATGAGTTCAATAGAGATTGGCTAATCGGTGGCGACAGGGATCAGATACAGGCCATTGTGCATCAGATCCTCGAGATTCTCGAAGTCCCCTTTCACCGGAGTATAGTTGATGGATTTACTGAAGGTATCTTGGATCTGAAGCAACGCGAGGCCATGTCTGATTCACCTAAGGTTTTTTTGTTTTTTTGTTTTTTTGTTTTTGTAACTAAAATGAGTTTGTTATCTTTTTTTTGTCGAAATATAATTATATTATTACGAATTCATGATATCTGAATACAAAATAGGCAAAAGCCAGTTCGGGGGATTGCTATAATCGAAACCAAAATCTCTACGAATAGCTAAAGAATGTGCTGCAAAGTTGCAATCCCTTTTGATATGATTAATTTCTAGCGTATTAAATTTTGTCATCAAGATTTCGAATGTCAGTTAATAAATTCGGTATTGTTGAATCCTGTTCGTTGGAGGTAAGTAGATTGACAAGGACTTGACAGTCTCCTTCAAAGCAAATGCGAGTAAAACCCATCGTCCATGTGTTATGCATCGCGAGGAGTAGAGCTTTTCCTTCTGCTTCAAGACTAGATAGAGATTTTCCTATGTGTGCAGAGCTCCAGAAATGACAGAATCCATTGGAATCGCGGAGGATCCAACCAGCAGTGGTTTGGCCGGTATGGCTATTGAAAGAGGCATCATAATTACATTTAAAAGAGCCTAGTGGCGGGCGTTTCCAGTGTTGTTTTAGAATAGGATGTTGAAGGGTGGGTAACTTGTGCTAAGTAGCCCGAGTCCAATCATCAACATCTGCCCTAGCTTTGAGTATAACCTGGTTAGGCTGAACATGATGTTTCTGGAAAATGAGGGAGTTACGAGATTTCCATATATGCCAGAGTAACCAAAATGGCAACAGTTTATCCTTATCAGAAAGGCCATCTGTGTTCTGAGCTGCAAGAAGAGATCGTATTACACTCTCTGTATCCTGCGATGAGATTGTTAGGGAGTATAGAGGTGTTTGAGAAAGACGCCAGAAGAGGATCGAAACTGGACAAGTAAAAAATAAATGATGGATTGTTTCTGGTTCCAAGCCGCAACGGACACAGGTATTTTCGAGTGAAATACCACGACTTTGAATGCACGTAGAGGAACCAATAGCTTTGGAGAGGATCTTCCATATGAAGTGTTTTAACTTTGGCATGATTCGCAGTTTCCATATTTGCTGTTTAACTAGAGGGTCCCAATGAGGAATTTCCGGTAATGTTTGCTGGAAGCCCGGATGATGTCGTAAGAACCAGTAACCAGATTTGACAGTGTATTGTCCTGAGTTGGTGTATGGCCATATCAAATGATCAGTATTATTATAGTGGCTGAGATAGAGGGATTGTACTAAAGTACAATCTTGATCCGAAGTTGAAGCCTGAAGAAGGGGAGTATTCCATTGTTTACGGGCGTCAGTATGTATAATAAGGTCAGAAACGAGCATAGTATCATTGCTATGTAAAGATTGAAGGGGCCGTGGTGGATGTGTGGGTAACCAGTTATCCTGGAAAGCTCGTATTTGGTGACCATCTCCAACAATATACCGAGAGCCTTGTTTAAGTATATTGATTCCAGTAAGAATGGAAGACCAGCCATAAGACTGGTATGGTTTGGTTTTTGCTTCGAACAGATGGTCGTCTTTGTAATATCGAGCTTTATAAACTCTTGCAAATAGACAATTTGGGTGTTTTAAGAGACGCCATGCTTGTTTTGTCAATAAGGCGTCGTTAAATTTTGCCAAATCCTTAAAGCCAAGACCACCTTCTCTTTTTAAATATTGCAGTCGTTTCCAGGCTATCCATGGTATACCTTTGGATTGAGTCCCTTTACCCCACCAGAATTGAGTAAAGATACTAGTAAGCTCAGAAATAACGTGCTTCGGTAGTTTGAAGCAAGACATGGAATAAACCGGCATTGACATTGCAACTGATTTAAGTAACACTTCTTTGCCAGCATGTGAGAGCAATTTAGAACTCCAAGAGGTAGTGTGTGCACGAACACGATTTGTAATGTTAGCAAACATTTCCTTTTTTTCCTGCCAAATTGTTCCGGAAGTCCTAGGTATTTCCCTCCTCCTCCATGTTTAGTGATGCCAAGACAATTCTTTAACATGTTTTGTCGCTGTCCAGGAATTCGTGAGCCGGATGTAATCATGGATTTTACTTGGTTTATTTTTTGACCGGAACATTGTTCACATAGTTGGAAGATATCCCTTAGTGAAGAGCAGTTCTTTTTATTAGCTTGGCAAAAGAAAAGGGAATCATCTGCAAAAAAGAGATGAGTGATACGAGGTACATCGTTCCCTATTTTGATCCCATTTATTTTGCCCTTGATAACATTATTATCAGTTAGATGACTTAACACATCAGCGCAAAGTATAAATAAGTACGGAGATACGGATCTCCCTATCGTAAGCCACGGTTAGGGGTTATATGTCCTTGTGGTTTGCCATTGATGAGCACTGAGTAAGTAACAGTAGTAACCATCGTCATAATCCAACGTATCCACGTATCATTGAAACCAAATGCTCGCATAGTATCTTCCAAGAATGTCCATTCAACACAATCACAGGCCTTTGTCATATCAGTCTTTACTGCCATATACGTTTGAGAAACTCGTTTACGGCTTTTCAGTGAATGCATTAATTCATGAGAGATAAGGACATTATCGGATATCATACGGCCAGGGACAAAGGTCGCTTGTGATTCAGAGACGATAGAGTTTAAGTAGAGTTTGAGGCGTGAGACTAAGATTTTCGAAATAATTTTGTATGATACATTACAAAGACCAATCGGGCGAAATTCTGAGAGAGTCGTCGGGGATTTTGTTTTAGGAATCATACAGATATTAGTATGATTGATCCCTTCTTCCATTGTTGCTGTACTGAAAAAATGTAACACTTGTGAGGTGACATTGTCGCCAACAATATCCCAGCATTCTTGGTAGAATCTCGCCGTGAAACCATCGGGGCCAGGTGCTTTATCAGCTCCTATGCTACAAACAGTTTCGAAGACTTCTGTTGTTGTGATTGGGCGGATTATGTTTTGATTGATTTCTGTGGTAACAGTAGGTCTGAAATTGTGAAAGATGGTAGAGGAGGGATTAGTTGTTTGTGATTTATACATATCACGGAAATAGTCTTCAGCGTGTATCCCAATATCTCTATCTCTGTAAAGTGTATGGCCTTCGTTGTCTGTAATTGAATGAATCCTGTTCCTTGTGTATCGAGATTTGGCTACAGCATGATAGAATTCTGTGTTCTGATCACCATGAAGGAGCCATGAATTCCGACTTTTCATATGCCAAAAGGTTTCTTCATCACGATAGGCCTTTGCTAATTCTTGTTGTAATTCTGGTACGGAGTATGTTGTTTGATGCGTCGAGGTAAGGGCGAAATCTAGTTTTAACTGAAGAGAATCAATTTGCTTTGCTGAATTTGTCTGAAACTCCTTTCGAGAATAGGATATAACATCGCGAATATGACGAAGACTAGTAGTAAGCGTAGGACATTGATTATACGGTGTGGATAGCCAACTCTGACGTATTACATCTTTGAATTTTGGATGATGTAGCAACCTTTTGTTGCTTAGGTATTTGGTGGTGAAGAAAATCGACTGAAATAACAACAGGTCGATGATCAGAGGCGCAAAAACGTTGGAATTCTGCAACTGATCCGGGAAACAGAGATAGCCATTGAGAAGTTGCAATAACACGATCTAAGCAACTGCAGACTCTATGGTGGCCCCTTATTCCACGCCAAGACATTCTGTTGCCCTTATGACGCAAATCCGTGAAATCGCAGGAATTGTACATATTCCTAAAACTCTGAAACGAGTGTTCAGAACGACGAGGGCCCCCTATCTTTTCTGTATTAGTTAAGATTTCATTAAAATCACCGAGAAGAAGCCAAGGTCCATCTCGTGTTTGACTTATTCGTTCTATCCGTTCCCAAAGATCATTATGAAGTAAGCGATTTGGATGTCCGTATACACAAGACAAATAGAAATTTATACCATTGAAATTGATTGAAACATCGATCATACGGATCGATTGGTACAAAGTAGTAATAGATATGTCTTTTTTCCAGAACAAAGCCAAAGCACCACTATGACCTTGTGGAGGAATAGTAGAAGAGAAATCAAATCCTAAAAGAGAGCAAACATCTCTCACTACATCACACTTATTCATTGTTTCGATTAAAAACAGTAAATCTGGTTGAATCTTACGAAACATCTCCTTCAATCTCTGTTTTGTCAGAGGCGATTCTAGGCCTTGACAATTCCAGGAGATTATCCGAAGGGCGTTCTTCAGAGACGTGGAGGCACAGGACCTCCGTTGTTGTTGTTTTTTGTCTGCGCAACGCTGTGTGAGTGTTCGTGTTCTTCATCATCGCTCTCCAACTTGATCGGAAACAGGGCCTTCGGATCATCGATAGCAACAGGAGTGACGACGTGACGTTTATGCGTTGCATATTCATCCAGGAAGTCGTAGGAGAGGTTGTTGGTAGGGGCTGTGTCATACCTCTCATCATTGCTTTTGCGTTTGGCAGGAGATGGGTGCTCGTGAGGACATACAAAGGCGTCGAACTCAGAAGACATATCAGAGTATGAGTGGTTGTGAGGGTTGGCAATTGTTGGAGTGATTCCCGGTATTGGTGTGACTGAATCGTCTGTGAAACCTCGGTGATACGAAGCCGCCATGAAGCTTGACTCGGCATTGTCAAATTTGCGAAGCATTGCTTCGACCTCGCTACGTTTAGATTCATCAAAACCAGAGTGTTCCTCCTGAGCGAGATAATCCTTCAACAGAGCCGTGAAATCACCTTCTGTAAATTTACCCCTCTCCATCTTGGCCTGAAGATAACGCCATGTTTCTGATACCATGTCTGTATCCTCTCTTATTTCAAAAGGTGTATTGTCATGGCACCCTTTGGTGTCATCATCGCTATTCTCAGCAGCGGGAGTTGGAGATTCCAAAGGATTGTTGGGTGGATTCGAGAAAATGGTACCCGCTGGCTCTGTTTCAACATCATTCGGTGGATCTGGAGGGTCGTCATGGGAATCCTCGGCATCGTGAAGCAATGGGCATTCTTTGGCCTCGTGAGTGAGAAGACCACATTTTAAACAGAAGTTACGTAGCCTTTCATATCGGAGTTTGAGAATTGTGTTCTCACCCGACACGAACTGGAAGACACGCTGGAAGACAAGAGGGGTATCAATGTTCCAAGCGAGTTTGATGCGCACGAAATCAGTAACTTGCGCCGCTTCATTAAAGTCAATATCCACCATCGTTCCCAGTTTGCGGGCAATATACTCAATGAGAGTACGGTTGAGAAACTGTGGTGGGATGCCCCTTAGTTGAATCCAGAACGGTATGATTTTGAGCATTTCGTCAGTAATCGTTGGTGTCCAACGTCGCGTTTCAATCATCCATTCATTGAAAGACCAAGGACCCATTTGAAGTATTAGATTCACGGCTTCCTCTGATTGAAACACGAACTGGAATTTTTTGGTATCCAAAATTCGTCCAATGGTAGCGTCGCTTAGACCTCATAGGCGAGGCATCGTAGTGATCAAAGCGCGAAGATTCTGTCGTTTGGGGTTAAGGAGGGTGCCAATGATTGCATAACGGTTCGCTTGAACCGCTTCAGTGCAAATGGATTGGGGTAGAGCAATTGGGGATTCAGAATGCCCCAAATCGATATCCTGCATTTTTCTGCGGATGTTGTCACTCATCAGGAAGAAAGGCGGAGTAACAATTATACAGTAATAGTGAGCGTAAGGCACGTATATATAGCAGTGAAACCATGGCGGTTTTTCTCTGGTTCCGGATGTGAGAGAAGGGAAAGAATAACCGTTAGAGTAACTGCTCAACGGACAAAAACCGTCATTGCTATCCCCTAAGATTCGGAACAACCGACGGACAAGACTCAAAGTAAGAATTGAAAAAGAAAACTGGGTTTTGATTTCATCTTCGTCACGAGAGAAAGAGAGAGAGAAATTAGAGAGAGAAGTTAGAGAGAGAAACATGTTGCTTTGTATGCTTAAATGAGTTTGTTATCTAATTTATTTTATTTTAATGCAAATATCTCATTCCAATTTTTTTTTATTCACGTAAGGTTGCTAGGGTAAGAGTGGAGACTGATGTTTTCGTCCCGAGATTTCCCGGTGTTGATGTCAACGACGCGGATGTGAATCTTGCGGTGGCTCCGGCAAGTGATGAGGCGGTGGAGTTACACTTTGAAGCGGTGGTTGTTGGGAATGATGAAGGCGTTTGTGTGATTTGTATGGATACGATCCGGGCTGAGTCGGGTGTGGCGGCGGCTCGAATGCCGTGTTCGCACGTGTTTCATCGCAACTGTGGAGAGGAGTGGCTTAGGAGGAGTGGGATTTGTCCGGTTTGTCGCGCCGTCTTCCCGCCGCTTTAGGCTATTATTTGAAAGTTGTGTAATTGAATATTCACCAGTCTTTTAATTTGATGTTGTTGTTTGCTTCAGTTTAAGTTGTTGTTTGCTTCAGTTTGAGTTGGTCTTAATTTGATGTTGTTGTTTGCTTCAGTTTTATTAATACAAATACTATACTTCGGTATGGTGTAATTTCAATTTTATCAATAAAATGCAATATAACTGAAAAACTGAAGTCACAAGTATTAACTGAGGACTTCGATGTCACAAGTGCTCTTATGAAACCTTGAAGGATAACTAAATCTTATGTCATTCTTATGAAATCTGAAGGATAAATAAAACATTTTTTATGCTTAGCTTTCCATGGAAACACAGTAGTGAAGGAATCTCATATTGAAGATTATATGTTTTCTTGTCTATTTGAAAAGATAAAACAATCAACTTTCATGCAAAAGATGCCTCTTACAAACAGTTTTTAACGTTCTTGGGCGGATAGATTTCAGATGCTCTGAGGAGGACAAAGTTCTTGATCTTCACGGCCATTGTACCTGCTTTCACCAAACGAGTAGGAGACACAACGCTTGCGTTTGTTACTAAGCCTTGAGAAATAGACATTGTTCCTCATCCATGGGAGATTACTTGCCAACTCAAAGTTATATAAGCTAACAAAGATTGTCAAGCCATCAATATCAGTACTACTCATCTTCTCCAATTTCAATGAGACTAGTTTATACACGTCTGGCTTCTTGTTGCCGCTTAGATAATGGAACGGTTTAGGAAAATTGGTTGTAAATTTTGGAATGGATATTTTGATTTTTTTTTGAAAAGAAATTTAATATAATTTTTAACCTTTTTAAATGTTAAACTGATAATTTATTTTAAACATATCTGTTTTTTGGTACTTTTATTCTATTCATTTGAATAAAATAAATGATCTTGAATAGGTAAGTATTTAAAAGATAAATTTAATCATATACACAATTGACCAGTTAATTAAATAAGTTGCAATTAGCCTGAAAACTTTGTTGTGTACGTATATTCGTCTCGGCAATATTATTTACAACCTTCCGATAATACTGTTTATCTGATTATTTATTAAAATATTGTAAAAGTATTAAGTCAAACTAATTATAATATAACAATAAATTTGTTATGTTAATATAATTATTATATTAAATAAAAAAGATAATTTTTGAAATAACCCATTTGACAATTTTATTATAAAACATGATCCTTTCTAAAATGATCTATAAGAGAGATTCACTAGCTTGCTTTCAAGCTGCTGTTAGTCGGCCAGTAATTTGTAATTAGTCTAGCATTAGTCTGTCAGTAGTCTACATTCAATTATTTGACCAAACAGTGTGCCAGTAGTCTGCATTCAGTATACCGTTAGTTTGCCATTAGTTTACAAATAACAGTAGTTAGAAGGATAGCGTCATTTTCATAATTTTCCGTCAATAGGATACCCATTTTGATAGAGAGCGGAAGCTAAATAACGAGATTAATACAAGAACTCCAGGAGAACTTGAAACAAACTCGAATCTTGGCTTATACGATTGAGATCGATTAGTCAAAAGGGTTTAAGAGTACTCCTCTTAGTGCTTTAAAAGCTCTGTTTATAAATTTAATCAAATCAAGTCTGCTGTTACAAAGTCTTAGAATAGCTATTTATAACTAAGTGAGAGATCGATCAGAATCTCTTAAACCTAATCATAAAAGATTTATAATTATCCTAAAGAGTAAAACTAAGAAAACAAAAGAAATAAAGAATACTTGACAAACAAGTAAAAGCCCATATCGTGTTTGTTGTAAAGCCCGATAAATATAAGATTCGCTGCATCAGGTCCATCCGGGTTGGAAAAGATTCGCCCATGAATCTGAACTTTTAGTCACCAGGAATAGGAAAATACGTTTGCCACATAAAATATCTTGTGAATCCGAACATAGTAGAATCAGCACCAAGAAGAAGATCCTCTACATACACAATTCTCGTGATGAAGCCGATGTGACAGCATTCCTCGAGTTGAACTTGAGGATGCAAGTCAGCGTGTTGTAGTTTCCTGAGCGAGAGATTAGGGTGATGTTCAGTGTCAAACTAATTATAATATAATAATAAAATTATAATGTTAATATAATTATTATATTAAAAAAAGATAATTTTTGAAATAACCCACTTAACAATTTTATTATGAAACATGATCCTTTCTAAAATGATCCATAAGAGAGATTCACTAGCTTGCTTTCAAGCTGTTGTTAGTCTGCCAGTAATTTGTAATTAGTCTAGCATTAGTTTGTGAGTAGTCTACATTCAATTATTTTGACCAAACAGTGTGCGAGTAGTCTGCATTCAGTATACAGTTAATTTGCCAGTAGTTTACAGATAACAGTAATTAGAAGGATAGCGCTGGTAATTATAAAAATCATAAAAGGAGTCATTTTCATAATTTTCTGTCAATAGGATACTCATTTTATATTATTTTATTATTTTAGGTCATTTTGGAGTATTTTCTTTAAATAAAATTATATATATATATGTTATTAGATAATTAACTTAACATAATTTGAAATTATATTGATAACCAGTAAAAGTCACTTCTGAGATTAACTAATCACTTACAAGAGACATTACTGCTAATTAATTTTTTGAGGCTGTTTGTGCTATAAATACTGAAAAGGTCTCTAATCCGGATACACTAACTGCTCGATTCTATCAAAAATATTGGAATATTATGGGTAATGATGTCTTTTCAGAGGTCCTAGGTTTCTTCGACACTGCACATATGAAAAGGAACTACAATCACACAAACATCTGTATGATTCCAAAGAATAAAGTCTTCGATAACTCTCTCTAATTATAAGTCTATCGCATTATGTAATATGTTCTACAAGATAATTTCTAAGACTCTCGTTACAAGACTTAAGTTTGTAAATAATATTGTTTCGGAATTCCAAGCTGCATTTGTCACCAGGTCGCATAATCTTTGACAACGCATTTGTTAGCCCATCAACTTATACACTTATTAAAAAGTCGCAAACATGTTTCTCAAACTTATATAGCAATTAAAACTGATATGATGATTAAGGCATATGATCGTCTATAATGAGATTTTTTGAAAAATATTATGTCCGCATTTAGCTTTTGTTCTAAGTGGATAAAATGGATGATGGCGACCGTTAGAACTGTCTCCTACTCTGTTCTTATAAATGGAACCCATAAGGAAATTTCCTGCATGAATGAGGCTTGAGACAGGAGAATCCTCTTTCTCCTTATCTCTTTATTTTCTTTGCTGACGTTATGAGTCATCTCTTGTAGATATATGTTAAACAAAATCAATGGCATAAAAGTTGCAAACGGTGTTCCAAGCATCGCACATCTTCTTTTTACCGATAGCTCTCTCTTTTTCTTCAAAGCAAATGTTAAAAAAATATTCTGCAATTCCGGGTGTGTTCAAAATTTACGACCAATGTTAATGCCAAAAAACTAAATCAAGCTAAATCCATGATTACATTTGGTTCATATACCCATGGATCAACACAGGAACAATTGAAGTGGGAATTGCTGAAAATAACCTAAAAATTAGTTTTTTTTAAGAAGTTTGGACCATTTATTGAATGTTTGAAAAACTAACTTAAAGAGGTAGTGAAATTACAGCTCAATCATTTATGAGTAAACAAAAAAGTTCGCCACTGTTACGATTTTATCTATGGGAAGTCTACGTAAGAAGTTAATTTGCTCATTAACCATATTGGTGTTAAAAATTAATGATATAGTTATAAGGAATTAAAAATCAAAAACTAATCAAAAACTCTAAAACGTATAATTTTGGAGGAAAATATCCTTGTTGACTATTTATTTGTTAGGAAGAGAGAGAGAGCGCGAAGAAAGATAATAAAAAATTCATATTATTATTATACAGTAACATACTATCTATACTATTTTGTAATCTGTTCTATACTATTTTTCTTGTAAAATAGTAAAAATTTATGAAAAGAAAAAAAAATGTGTAAAAAGAATGAGAGGGAAAAAGGAAGAAGAAAAAAAAATCAGGTATTTAGGGATTTAGGGTTTAGAATTCTCATACGATGTTACCCAATCCTACGCCTTAATACGCAACAAATCTCTGATAATATATATATATATATATATATATTTTAAAACTAAACCCAAAGCACTATTTACTATTTCCAAACCTCTAAACATAATCCAAAGTTATTACATATATAATAACCAAATCATTTGAAATTAAACCCGAGACGCTACAAACTATATCCAAACCCTGTTTAACTATACCCTAACTCTTTACTATATCCAAACCTCCAAATATAAACCAAAGTTATTAAATATATAAAATAACCAAATCATTTTAAACTAAATCTAAGCCACTACAAATTATACCCAAACTTTACGTAACTATAGTCTAACTCCCTTAAATTCAACACATCATAAGTTTTACTCCCTTATACAGCATACAAATCGAAATAGAAATAATTAAAAGATATAAACATATTCTATACTACACGAATATTGTATCTAAAATAATATTTTTTGTGGTTAGTCTATAAACATTTAAAAGAAAACCAAATTATAAAGTCTTACAATTATATATAACTTTCAAATTTGAAATTCCAAGTTTCACTAATAAGAACTTACATGTTTCACTCAAACAAATCTTATTTAATATAGTAAGGTCACGTGTCACTTTTTTTCTCTTATCTCTACTAAATTCTCGATAATCGAACAAACACATTGCTTATTTTTTTTTCTTTTCAATATGATTTTCTTTCATTATGTCTCTTACTTTACATTAATTAGAACTATTTTTTTAACTTTTAAGAGCTGGCCGTGATATTGTTTTTGCACAAAAAATAGATTTATTTTGTTATATTTTTTATAGCTAATCGAATAGAAAATCATGCACTGTTTGCTTTCGTAAAATATTTTAGATTAATGGCTCACTCTTTTCTCTCATACTTCATTGAACCTTAAATCGCCTCCACTATCACAATCTGGATTCTGCTCTTTAGGACTTTTTTTCCGATCGTGTACTTGCTCGGAATGGTGGTAGCTTGAATTCCCTAATATGATCAAAACTAATTCTCCCTTATATAATATGGTAATTTTTTTTTTATATAGAAACAACTCTGATATGCTGTCATATTAAAAACTGACATGTATCACTTTTTACTTTTTTTATAATCTCTATCGAATTCTCTTTCACTAAACAAATATAAATAAAGAAGGTTCAATGCTTTTTTCTCTTCTGCAAACAATTCCTTTTCATTCAGTAAACATAAACAAAATTTAAATCACTCAAGTAAATTTTATATAATATTATAAAATCATATGTCACTTATTATTTTTTTTACTCTTTTTCTTTAACATTAGACTTTAAAAAGAAATGAACATTCTATTTTTTTGAAGGAAAATTACCTTTCTCCAAATAGGGAGGAGAAGTTGGCTACACCGCCTCCTTGGAGTATAAAACAGGGTCTTTCCCTTAACGTTGAAGAGGATATGTATTTATTCACATCGAAATCTAGGGCAACGTGAGGCTTTCTGCTTTCTATCTTAAGATTTTAGATTCTCTATTTGACAATTAGATTAGCATTTTCATTCCGACCACCTAACTAAACGTGTAACCTATTGAGCTCCAATCCACTACATATTATTTGAGAAGTAACATTATTGAAAATAGCTGATTTGTCAACACTACAGCCAAAGTTAGTGCTTTTAATTGATGACATGTAAATGTGACATGTCAAACTTCCTAAAATAAACAAAATGTTTTGATTGGTTGAATTAAAATTATAAGAGTTGTGGAATTGAAATATAAATAAACTAGATTATATTTATAACATTAAAATTAACAAATTTAAATTAACAGAAAATAAAATTTATTATAATTCAAATTTTTACATATATTCATAATTTCATAAAATATAATTACGAAATTTGTTCAACAATATATATAAATATATATATATATATTATAATTTCATATAAAAACCAAAAAAATACTAATTATCCAATAGAATAATAAAAATTCTATTATCAATAAGACTTGAAGTATGATATATTTTTATTTCGGAAAGTTGTTAATTTAAAAAAATATATTAATAACATCTAAACAAATTTTAAATAAACAAATTATTAAATAATACAATTTTAAATAAAATTCAATCTTGATAAAAATAATTTAAAGAATAAAATGTTAAAAATAATAAAATAATCAACTTTTATTGAATTTTTTTTTCAAAAACGTAATTTTAAATAAATTTTCTTTTCAAACCAATATTTACTAAATGAATAAAGTATATGCTAATTATTATTTCATAATATTAATAGGACCATATATTTTTCTATAACTTTTATCATCTTTTTATTGTTATTTTCTAAAATATACATAACTTATGTTACCATCTCATCTTATCTTTTATCATATTTTAAATAAAAATAAATTTTACATCATATTCATATATATATATATATATACATAAATTTAATTTCATTGTATATAAAAATTTTGAGAACATAAATAAAATGAAAAATAACCAAACGAAAGAATAAATTATAATAAGATGAAACAATATGAATAAGAAATAAAAATAGAAGTATATAAAAATAAATCTCTCGCACTTTTTTTACAAAGCCACTTAAAAACTTTTTAACACGTAAGAGCCATATTTCAATTTTTTTACAAATATGCGTACATACATAAATATTAATTGTACATTAGTTGAAGTCACATGCGCACTTTTTATTGCATGTATTTTGTTAAGATTGATTACAGTCTAATTTTTATTTTAATTATTATACAATTTATATTTTGAAAAAAATATTTATATATTCTAAGTGTAGTGAAGTGGTTGGTATGTCCGCACATGCGTGCCAACCATCTATCCGCTCTTAAGAATAAGTAAAAATGGTAAAAACTATTTCAGTTTACTTTGCAATAAATAATAAAAAATATATACTTAAAATATATTATATATGTATCTGCAAATTCATATTATGTAAGACGTAAAAAAGCATATTGTAGATTGTGTAAGCAAAAATAAAGCATATTATAGAAATATTCAAAAAATATTATAAGAATTTAATAATTATTTAACATAACTTTTATATTTGTGATTATATATTATTACAAGCATTGTAAAAATAAAATTTTTTAATTCATTGGTTTCAAAAAGAAGTCTGTGAAATATTAAAACAATATATATACAAACATACTAATGTTTAAAAAAACTAATCAATATTTAAATATTATAATTAACTATGTATATAAAAAAATTATACCCGCACATATGTGCGGGCAACCACCTAGTTAAAAATAAATAAGATTTACTCTTTTAAATTTCCAAACTCCTTATTATTTTCTTATGTAATATTGAGTTCTTACAAGCATCAACACATGCCAAGGCCTGTTCTCTTCTCAACTAATCTATTCAATGTTTAGAGAAAAAACAATTTTATATTTTGTACTCAAATGATAATATTATCGAATTTAAGATTTTGAATAAAGTTGTACGAACAACAACTTAATTTAGATTTAATTATCATTAATACATAATTATAATATTATGAAAATTTATATTTATTTGTTAATGAATATAATGTGATTTAATAACTAACAAAAATATAATTATTGAAAATATCAAATGTATCCAAATTGGTCAAATCTTATGTTTGCGGTAACATAATAAAGAATTCCTAATAAATTGTAATAACCATCAAAAGTTCAAATTATAATGAAATAAAAGCACATAATTCATATTCAATTTTCTCAAAACTTCACAAATGATATTCTATTTATTTTGTAAATATAATAAATTTACTTAATTGTTAAAATATGTTTATTAGAAAGTTGATGATTTGTTTGACCAAAATATAAAAGTTGAAACCTTATTTATTAATTTTATTAAAAAAAAATAGTTATTGCTTGACTTCAGATTTGCTTATAGTCAACGAAAAAGAAAGTAGAAACCTAATATTTGACCCCCAACAAAAAAAAACCAAATATAAATATAATTATAGACACACCCTTTCCGACAATTAACTCGTTCTCTTTCACTCTCTCTCAAGTTCTTAAACACCAAACTAAATTTTCATATCCATCAATCTTTTTTACAACAAATAATGGTTTTGGATTACGAACACTTCTCTATGTTCTCCTTCAACCCAGTCTACAGCGATGACCAACACAATAACATGAACATTGTGTTCGATTTCCATTCGGTTTACAGAGTCCTTAATCCAAATTTAGTTTTTCATGTAGAGGACTACATGGATCTTGATTATATCAACAATTGGGTAACACGAATCGAAGATATAAGTCATGAGTTCAATAGAGATTGGCTAATCGGTGGGGACAGGGATCAGATACAAGCCATTGTACACCAGATCCTCGAGATTCTCGACGTCCCCTTTCACCGGAGTATAGTTGATGGATTTACTCAAGGTATCTTGGATCTGAAGCAACGCGAGGCCATGTTGCTTTGTATGCTTAAATGAGTTTGTTATCTAATTTATTTTATTTTAATGCAAATATCTCATTCCAATTTTTTTTTATTCACGTAAGGTTGCTAGGGTAAGAGTGGAGACTGATGTTTTCGTCCCGAGATTTCCCGGTGTTGATGTCAACGACGCGGATGTGAATCTTGCGGTGGCTCCGGCAAGTGATGAGGCGGTGGAGAATCACTTTGAAACGGTGGTTGTTGGGAATGATGAAGGCGTTTGTGTGATTTGTATGGATACGATCCGGGTCGAGTCGGGTGTGGCGGCGGCTCGAATGCCGTGTTCGCACGTGTTTCATCGCAACTGTGGAGAGGAGTGGCTTAGGAGCAGTGGGATTTGTCCGGTTTGTCGCGCCGTCTTCCCGCCGCTTTAGGCTATTATTTAAAAGTTGTGTTATTGAATATCCACCAGTCTTTTAATTTGATGTTGTTGTTTGCTTCAGTTTGAGTTGTTCTTAATTTGATGTTGTTGTTTGCTTCAGTTTGAGTTGTTCTTAATTTGATGTTGTTGTTTCCTTCAGTTTTATTAATACAAACACTATACTTCGGTATGGTGTAATTTCAATTTTATCAATAAAATGCAATATAACTGAAAAACTGAGGACTTCGATGTCACAAGTGCTCTTATGAAACCTTGAAGGATAACTAAATCTTATGTCATTCTTATGAAAACTGAAGGATAATTATTTTATTTTTTTAATGCTTAGCTTTCCATGGAAACACAGTAGTGAGGGAATCTCATAACCCCCAAATCAAATTAAAGATTACATGTTCTTGTATATTTGAATAGATAAAACAATCAACTTTCATGCAAAAGATGCCTCCAACAAATAGTTTTTAACGTTCTTGGGCGGATAGATTTCAGATGCTCTGAGGAGGACAAAGTTCTTGATCTTCACGGCCATTGTACCTGCTTTCACCAAACGAGTAGGAGACACAACGCTTGCGTTTGTTACTAAGCCTTGAGAAATAGACACTGTTCCTCATCCATGGGAGATTACTTGCCAACTCAAAGTTATATAAGCTAACAAAGATTGTCAAGCCATCAATATCAGTACTACTCATTTTCTCCAATTTCAATGAGACTAGTTTATACACGTCTGGCTTCTTGTTGCCGCTTGGATAATGGAACGGTTTAGGAAAATTGGTTGTCAAATTTGGAATGGATATTTTGATTTTTTTAAAAAAAAATTAAATATTACTTTTAACCTTTTTTAAGTGTTAAAGTGATAATTCATGTACTTTTACATATCTGCTTTTTTGGTACTTTTTATTCTATTCATTTGAATAAAATAAATAATCTTGAATATTCAAATAAATGATCATAGGTAAGTATTTAAAAGATAAAATTAATCATATACACAATTGACCAGTTAATTAAATAAATTGCAATTAGCCTGAAAACTTTGTTGTGTACATACAATGTTCTCAATTCGTCTCGGCAATATTATTTACAACCTTACGATAATACTGTTTATCTAATTAATGTATTAAAATATTGTAAAAGTATTGAGTCAAACCAATTATAATATAATAATAAAATTGTTATGTTAGTATAATTATTATATTAAATAAAATTATTATATATATATTATTAGATAATTAACTTAACATAATTTGAAATTATATTATTAACCAGTAAAAGTCACTTCCGAGATTAACCAATCACTTACAAGAGACATTACTGCTAATGAATTTTTTGAGGCTGTTTGAGCTATTAATACTGAAAAAGTCTCTAATCCGGATACACTAACTGCTCGATTTTATAAAAAATGTTGGAATATTATGGGTAATGATGTCTTTACAGAGATCCTAGGTTTCTTGGACACTGCACATATGAAAAGGAACTACAATATAAAATCTTCAATAACTCTCTCTAATTTTAAGTCTATCGCATTATGTAATATGTTCTACAAGATAATTTCTAAGATTCTCGTTATAAGACAAGTTTTTTTAAATATTGTTTCGGAATTCCAAGCTGCATTTGTCACCAGGTCGCATAATCTCTGACAATGTATTTGTTAGCCCATGAACTTATGCACTTATTGAAAAGTCGCAAACATGTTTCTCAAACTTATATAGCAATTAAAACTGATAGATAACTAGCATATGATCGTGTATAATGAGATTTCTTGGAAAATATTATGTCCGCATTTAGCTTTTGTTCTAAGTGGATGAAATGGATTATGACAACCGTTAGAATTGTTCCCTACTCAGTTCTTATAAACGGGAACCCGTAAGGAAATTTCCTGCATGAACGAGGCTTGAGACAGGAGAATCCTCTTTCTCCTTATCTCGTTATTCTCTTTGCTGACGTTATGAGTCATCTCTTGTATATATATGTTAAACAAAATCAATGGCATAAAAGTTGGAAACGGTGTTCCAAGCATCGCACATCTTCTTTTTGCCGATAACTCTCATTTTTTCTTCAAAGCAAATGTTAAAAAATTATTTTGCAATTCTGGATGTGTTCAAAATTTACGAGCAATGTTCATGCCAAAAAAATAAATCAAGCTAAATTCATGATTACATTTAGTTCATGTACCCATGGATCAACACAGGTGGTGAAAATATCTAGGGATTCCACAGCAATTTGGTAGAAATAAAAGAGGAAATGTTTACTAACATTACAAACCGTCTTAAACAATGAACATTGACTAGGAGTGCAAAGCTGTTATCTTAAGCTAGTAAAGTAGTATTTATGAAATCAGTGGCTATTTCAATACCCGTTTATTCCATGTCATGTTTCAAACTACCAAAACATGTAACTTCAGAGTTAACAAGCACTTTGACACAATTTTGATGGGAAAAGAATGCTCAATTAAAAGGTATCCTTTAGGTTGCTTAGAAGCGATTACAATACTCTAAACATGAAAATGGCTTAAAGTAAGGACTTTGAGAATTTTAATGATGCTTTACTTGCTAAACAAGTTTGGTGACTTTTGAAATATTCTGATTGATTATTCTCAAGGCTATATATAGCTTGTTATTTTAAAGATGTGTGCATTTGTTATTTTAAGGATGTGTGCATTTATAAATCATACAGATGGTCCTCCATTCTATGCGGTATAGATCTAATTAAAAAAAGGCTGTCGATCAATCATTGGAGATGGACGCCAAATAAGAGAATACAAAAATAATTAACTTCCTATTCATCCTCCTAGACTCGCTTATGGAGGAAATGAAAATTGCAATGCCCTAGTCAAGGATTTATTATTAAGAAATGGGAATTATCAACAATGAGATTTAGATGCTCTAACGGCTTTCCTACAAGATGACGATATAGTGCTAGCGAAATCTTTATATTTAGAAAAGACCTAAAGAAGATAGTATACTCTGGAGTTAAACGAAAATCGGTAATATTCGGTCAAATCTGGATACTGATTTCTACGACTACGACATGATACTGAATTTCAAATGTCGCTCCTGATATTTTTCATGGGGACCCGTTCTTAAAAGGAAAATATGTAGTTGTTGTTTATTTTATTCTAGGTTATTGTTTGAAAGTTGTGTAATTGAATATTCACGTTCATTATACAGTGTGTTAATTCGATGTAGTTCGTTCTTTGCTCCTTTTTTTTCAGTTTTATTAAATACAATACAATACTTCGGTATGGTGTAATTTCAGTTTTATGAATAAAATACAATATAACAGAAAAAATGAAGTCACAAGTATTAAGTATTATTAAATAAGGACTTCGATGTCACAAGTGTTAGACTGTTAGTTTGATGTTGTTGTTTGCTTCTTTTTTTTTCAGTTTTATCAATAAAATACAATATGACGTTTTAAAAAAAAATATACAATATAATTCCAATGCTCGAACACGATGAAAATTTTATGTGATAAGTGTTCTTATGAAAACTAAAGGATCCATGAGTAAAAGAATTCTTATGTTTAGCTTTCCACACCTGAAACAGATTCTGGTAAACAAAAACACACTAGTGAGACAATTCCATAACACCGGCAAATCAAATTAAGATTAGATGTTTTATTGTCTATTTGAAAATTAAAGAAAAAAAACAAACTTACTCACTAACAGTCATGAACCGCAACATTACTCACAAGCGCAATGCCATGCAAGCTGAGATTGATGCGTTGGACCAAAACGGAACTTGGACTATGGAAACACTACAACCAGGAAAGAAAGCCATTGATTGTAATTAGCTCTTTCGTCTCAAGTTCAAAGCTGATGGCACACTTGAATGATACAAAGCTCCTTTAGTGATTCTCGGTAATAAACAAGTAGAAGGAACATATTTTACACACGTTTGCACCTGTTGCCAAAATGACTACAGTGCGGATGTTGTTAGAAGTGGTTGCTGCGAAAGATTGGCATGTTCACCAAATGAATGTTCATAATATCTTTCTTCATGGTGATTTAGAGGAGGAGATCTATATGCAGCTCCCTCCTGGATTCCGAAAAACTGATAAAACGCAGGTTTGTCACCTCAGAAAGTTTCTTTATGGGTTACGCAAGGCTCCACGTTTCTGATTACAGCTTCACTCAATCTATACCAGATTACTCATCACTTTTCTCCTACTCCAACGGTGCAGATCGTATTCATGTTCCTGTATATGTGGATGATCTCATCCTCACTGCGAGCTCGCTTCATCTACTCAAACATTTTAAAGCGTATCTCAGCAAGTGCTTCCATATGAAGGATCTTGGTGCCTTGAAATACTTCTTAGGCATTGAGGTGGCTCGATCGTCTGGTTTCTACCTTTGTCAACGAAAGTACGCCATTGGTATCATTACTGAAATAGGTATTTTTGGAGTCAAACCAGTTGCCTTTTCTCTTGATCAGAATCTCAAGCTCGCACTTGCATCAGAAGAATTCATGCTTTATCCGGTTCAGTACCGTCGCCTGGGGGCACGTTTGATTTATCTTGATACTACAGGCCCTGATCTGGTTTATTCTATAAACATTTTAACTCAGTTCATGAAGGAACCAAAACAAGAACATTGGGAAGCTGCACTTCGTGTGGTTCATTATCTCAAACACAATTCGGGTCAAAGAATTCTTCTATGCTCATATTGTCTTTTGAAACTCAATGTTTGGTGCGATGCAGATTGGGCCGGCTGTCCTCTCACTCGTCATTCCTTGACATGTTGGTTCATTCAGCTTGGTAACTCTCTCTCTCTCGGAAGACAATCAAGCAGGAAACAGTCTCTTGATTTTCTGCAGAATCAGAATACTGAGCTTTGTTCTTTCCTGTTCATGAGGTGCTTTGGTTGAAAAACTTTCTCCGATTTGGTGTGGATCATCCGGATCCAATCATGGTAGCCTGGCTGCGATTCATTTTGCTAATTCTGTGTTTCACAAAAAACAAATCATGTGAAAAATGATTGTCATTTTATACGTGATGAGATCA